AGTTAGTTGAATTTCAACAACCCAAAATAAATGAAATGAGCTGCTATTTATAGTAGTCTTTAATGTGGCACTATTCAGCTACTGTTCACCGGTCTTGTCGCACAGTGATTTGGAAAAGTAGTCCGGCGTCCGTCTGACATGTATTTAATGCGATTTGAGGTTTCTTCAATCATTACCTGTCAGGCATTAAATACCAGCATGGGGGGCATTTAATGCTGGTAGGCTTTATTGATTTAGGATTACTGGTAGGGTGCTAGGCCATGATTACTTGTCCCATCGTCCAATGATGGCCTCCCAAGTGGGAATATTTTAATGCTCATCGAAGCCTGCGCTTTCCCTCTGGTCGGCCTCCTCGGATTTTCAGGCCTGCACCTCATTCGAAAGTGTTCACGAGACTGCGAATAGTCTTCTTTCTGTCCAGCACCCCCCCAGGCCGGCCTTTGTCCGGACTGAGCCAGGCGCCGGGCTGAGAGAACGTTCCTATGACGGCTCTACACATCTTTAATCCTCGGTTCAGCTCGACACCTCTTCACCAGACCGGGTCTTCAGCTCGGTCCTCAGAGGTTCAGTATCCGGTTCAATCCAGGCCAACTCGGCTATCAACATTATTATTATTATTATTATTATTATTATTATTATTATTATTATTATTATTATTATCATAGTTATTATTGTTGTTGTTGTTGTTGTTGTTGTTATTATTATTATTATTATTATTATTATTATTATTATTATTATTATTATTATTGCCTTAAACCACCCTATACCATTAATGCTAAAATATTTCCTTTCTTGCTCCTTGTTTATGTTAATTAAGACAAAAACCGTTATATTCTATGTTAATTGAGTAATAATTATATTTTTTATTTTACCATAATAGTTACTATAAAAACTAACTAATTATGTGTACACAAAATGATATATGAAAGTTACACAAACATAAAAAAAATAATATATTGTAAATCTTTTTAATCGAGTTATTTATTCTAAATCAACATGGTGTTCAACTATTGAAAAATTACATTATTTTATATCTCAAAATTACAAAAAATACATTTTTAATATTTTTATGTAATCAATAGTAGTGTTGTAAATGAACCGAATTGAACCGAGTTTGAGATGTTCGAACTCGTGTTCGTTTACATTCGAATAGTGTTTGTGTTCGTTCGTTTATTTTTCGAGCAAAAAATCGTGTTCGAGTTCGTTCATGTTCGAATAATTTAATACATAAACTTTTTAAATATGTTTGATTAACTCGAAATTTGTTCGTTCGAACTCGAGAATAAAAGAATAAAATAAAAAAATTTTATATTTTATATTTTTATTAAAAATATTATGTAAATATATAAAATAAATATATTTATATTAAATTGTAAATTTTTTATTAAAAATATTATATAAATATATATATATATATATAATAAAATAAAATTATATTAAATTAATGTTCGCGAACATAATCGAACTTTCACGAACGAGCTCGTGTTCGTTCGATTATTAAACGAGCCTAATTTTATGTTCGAACTCGGCTCGATTAATAAACGAACGAATTTTTGTCGAACACGAACGAGCTCGAACAAGCTTTTGTTCGCGAAAGTTCGGTTCGTTTACAGCTCTAATCAATAGAAGTATTCATATGTAATTAAATAGTTATATTGTTTATTTAACCAATTATCAAAATATTTAAAACAAAAGACAAATATCTAACTATTTTAATAGTATGCATACAGATAACTTATAATATTTTATTTACATTTGTACATCTGTACATGATCGAAATACAAGCTTACTATCAATTAGCATAATGCAAATTAGCCAAAATAATAATCTAATGAGAGCCCTCTAACGAGCTTAATTCCGAAACAGCTAGCTCTGCGGCCATCCACCTTCATCGTTGTCCGCCCGCGCCTTGCTGCCCTTGCGCCGTGATCCGAGCTCTAACGTATGCGTTTCTTAATTGTAATGAGCAACACTCATTAGATGATACTTTTTTGGTTTGTTCAATTTATTTTCATATGCATTTGAAAATTTCAAACCATATACGAATTATACTAATCATTAAATTACTAAACCAAAACAGGAGACTGCATAATCCATAAGCCCAAAATCATCCACGACTTGGGAAAAACCACATAGGCGCTGGGTAAGTCTTTCTCAAGTTCTTAGCATCACACGGAAAATAGCACCATGACACAGTCTTGTTCTCATAATTGAAAATGCCAATGTCATGGCCACCAGTTCGGCAATCGTCAATCAGTGCATCCATTAGTGCATCCGTGTAGTAAATTGAATTGGGTTTGAGCTCCGGGAACTCGGCCAAAGGCAAAGCGACTGCATCGCTGTACAAGAGTCCAACCACACAAACATGAACCTTCCACATACTTAACTTCCCCATCCTCGGGATCATATTTCTCAACATCAAAATCAACAGTCACACTCGGAAGTCCTCGTTCGAAGGCCAAGGCATCTGGGTCAATGCCATCGACATACAAACCATCACAATCAAATGAGTCGGCCGGGTATTGAGTCACCACAAGAAGATCCTGCCCGGCCACTACAAGATGCTCCATTGGCTCATTAGTCAGCCACAGCTTCTTCTCCTCTTCCTCTGTCCTCGGGTAGCCAATACGTCCACTCTTGTAACTAACATCGGCTATCTTCATGGCCTTCGGTGACTCAGGGTCCCGAAGATCCCAGGATTCCAACTCCCCGTGTCTCGTGAGGCTAAACAATGATTCGTGTCGATTAGAGAACACACAATCCACGTACCCTTCACGGAAGGCCCGGCCCAAATCGTGGTGGGTCCACTCCTTGCTGAACCCTGGACAGCAGAAAGCCAACCCACAATTGTCGTAGATCATGATGGCCCGACAATTTGGTTCATCTGGGGAGCACGAGAGTATGACCTTATCTACGTGTTCATAGGGAGGAAGGCTTATATGACGCCGAGTAATTGGGTTATAGAGAAACATGTCCAGACTACGGCGGTCGTACAAAACTACCCAGCCGTGTGAAGATCCCCTAAAACACATGAGAGGATCCGTTAGTTCTCTATCTTTGCTGCTTTTTCCGGTACTTAGGGTTACGATTTTGTTGTCGGCGAGGGTGTAGAACTTGTAGCTCCTGCTGGCGGCGCCGCTAACGTCGACGTCAAAGGCAGGCGGCAGCATAAGCCAAGGAGATGACGAGGATGGTGGGAAGAACGAGATCCAACAATCAATTTTTGATAATTAGAAAATCCGGCAAACCAATTCCGACCAATTGGACGGAAGGACGCCATCGATAGATAAACTTCGGAACTCAAAAGAGTCGACAATCAAGCTGTGTCTCTGTTTTTCGGCTGCTCCTACTTTTACTCGATAATAAGTGGGCTTTTTTACCCTGCTTGTGGGATTTGTGTGTATATTCGAAAGGCCCAAATAATAGAGTAGAAGGGCCTGAATGAGGCAGAACCCACAATCGGGTTTTATAAAATCTCAAAGGGGCGAAAAAAACAAAAACAAAAAAGTAAGAGGCAGCTCCACTACTACTCCGGCGATAAGGCCACCGTCTACCTCCGATAGGCAGCCGCAACCTCTCGGCCGGGAACGGCGAAATTGGTGTCACGGAAAAATCTCCAAAGAGGTAAGTTCCTACTTCCTAATTTCCCCAATTGTTCAAATGATTATGTACGAAATTCCTTGGAGATTTTGTAGTTTGTTAAAATGGTGAAAACTTCGATTTGAGAGTCTAAAGGATTCGAGAGGCTCTTGTTATTTGTTATTAGCAGAAAAAAATTGATCAAAGGTGGCTCGTCCTTGTCCTCTTTGTTGTTCCTTTTTTGCCGATTACAGAAAAAATTGAGAAGTGAACGGCGTCGTTTACCTATGGAGAACAAGAGAGCTACCAAGTCACAGGAAGAGCAGTGGATGGTTCAAAATCAAGTCTTTCGGATTTACGATCTTGTTTACCAGCTTCCTCCTCATGCTCAAGCCGTCAAGTGAGCTTCGTACTGTTTACTACAGTTGGTGCTGTTTGTCTGGCACAATCAGTTTGCTAGTTGATTTTATATTCCCCTAACTTAAATTTGGATTCTAATTTCTTTGATTCGGTATGTGGAATTTGTAGCTTTGAGCTTCGACGCGAAAACCACATTGAATACCTCATCAAAAGTCTCAAACAACTCGGCCCAAATTTTGCTGTTCTGGATGCTAAGTATAGCTTTTCTTCTTCTGTATTAATATAAGAATATAGTTTTTACATATTCTGCGTGCTTACACGCACACACAGTCACACACATTATATCAGCTGCAAATTCATTTAATTTGACGTGTATGTCATAATGTTCTGAGTTTTATTTCGACGTAATACTATTGGTCTTCATTGAAATCAGTCTATCTTCACAGTCATGGAGAGTGTGCTCATAGTATGTAGTCGAATGCACTTGCAACAAGGAAAGTGTGTGAGAGTTGAGAATTTTTTTATTCGTGTTTTTTATCCACAACCCAAAGCAGAAAGCAGATAATAACACGCCTGTATGAGTTGCATGTTGATGTTGTAACTAGTTCTTTTCTGAGATTTGAGGAATTTTGGACCACATTTTGAAGTTTAGTTTATCGAACTTTTGGTTTGGTGATTGATTCTCAGTCGACCTTGGCTATGCTATTGGATCATGCACTCTATTGCTTTATTGGGGGACTGTGTTGATGACAAACTGGAAAATGACATAATTGAGTTTCTTAAACGGTGTCAGGTTTGTGATTTCTGCTCGTAGTGTGAAATGAAGTATTGTTGATATTATTGCATACTTTCACAAATGTAACTTTGAAGATTACTCTGAGAACTTCTTGTTGTTGTTAATGCATATGCTATATTTGTTCATGGTCTCATTTAATAGTGTTACTCAGGATCAAAATGGTGGCTATGGTGGTGGACCAGGCCAGGTGGGACGTTTTGTAATGTTTTGGGTTGTTTTGGCGCATCTTATTATGATGGACTACTTACTTGCATTGTTATTGCTATGTAGAATATAAATTCTTTTTGCATTTTTAAAAGTGAGTGACTAGTTGATTGGTTTCTTGAATGGGTTCAGATGCCTCATTTGGCAACAACTTATGCTGCGATCAATACACTGATAACTGTAGGTGGTCACAAATCACTGTCATCGATAAATAGGTAACTATTGCTTTCTATTTTATAACCTTTTTCATTTGCAAGTTTCCTTTCCAATTTTTTTCTTTTTGTTTTATTCACATTGAACTTTTGGCTTGCAGAGGGAAGCTTTATGATTTTTTGTTGCGAATGAAAGACTCGAGCGGTGGCTTCAGGTAACACAGAGTAATCTTGAGTGTTTTTTATGTTACTGGCGTTGGAATGTGCAAATTCCAAGTTTTTTTCATACTAAAAGATCTTAGTGATTGCTATTTGCTGACTAATTAAAAGTGCTTGGAGATTTATTCATCTTTCAATTCCTTGCGTCATTTGCATGTTTGATGTATTAAAACCAATTCCTGTTATAATTTTTTCAGGATGCATGATGGTGGAGAAATAGATGTTCGTGCTTGCTACACTGCTATATCTGTAAGTCCAAGCGCTTTCTTAAACATGGTTGACTTACATGTCCACTCGAATATCTTGAACTCTTTAAATAAGATATAACTGGTATGAGACCTCTCATCAAGAAAAATTGCACCAGAACATCTTTCTCCAAATAGATAATTAATATCTTACTTCTGCTTTGCAAGCAGAAAATCCAAATGTTTCTGTGAAAAACTGCATGTTCTCTGATTCTAATAATGAAGCTTTAGTGTGATACATATTTGGTTCCAATTTCTAAATACCCCTGTGTGGAAAGAACCATGATCCTTAGGTTATGTTTGGTAAAACTGGCTGATAAGCTAGCTGGTAGCTGATAAGCTAGCTTATAGCTTATAAGTAATTTTCGAGCTTATAGCTTATAGTTTATGACTTATAGCTGAAAAGCTAGCTTATATGATAGAAGTGTTCGGTAAATTAACTGATAGTAATTCACTGTTAAACTAGTTGAAATAAAAATTTTAACGAGCTTCTTTCAAAAGCTACCCAAAAAGCTTATGAGATAATAAAGCTCGTCCTGCCATACAAAGTTTATTTAAATACAGGAAGCTTTAAGTTAAAAGCTAGCTTATTTGGTTACCAAAAATAGCCTTAGAATTAACTCGTTGAATTAGAGGAAGGTGCTGGACTAGTTCTTTCTTGTAACTGGTTTTCTTTATTATTGTTTAATTCTTTAAGCCCTCTAAGCTGTCTAAACCTATGTCACGTTGGGTTCCATGCTGCAACGAAGTTTGGCTGAATGCATTCTATTTTATCTAGGAAATATTCTTACTTCAGTTATTATCTTGCTTCTTTAGGTGGCTAGTGTTCTTAGCATTTTGGATGATAAGCTGATTCAGGGTGTTGGGGATTACATCGTAAGGTTTGCCTGATCGTTCTACTATTCCCCAGCTTTTCGTCACCTTCTTCGTTTGCAACTTAATTCTAATAAAATAATTTTAATATGTCTTCTTGTTATTCTCTTTGTGGACTTGCAAAATCTGTTCTGTGATTTTACTTATTTTCACGGTCCGGATGCATGTCACTCTGCCTAACAGTTGCCAGACTTATGAAGGTGGAATTTCTGGTGAGCCGGGTTCAGAAGCTCATGGTGGGTAAGTAAAAACCTGAAAAATGACTTGGATTTGTCCTGTAGCTTTCAATTTTAGTTGCAATTTTTGTTGGATGAGATCCTATGTGCATTTTGGTAGGTATACATTTTGCGGTTTGGCTGCTATGGTTCTAATCAATGAGGCGAACCGTTTGGACTTGCCTGGACTAATTGTGAGTGTTTCTTTTTTCTTAATATTCACCTTCTATCTCCACTGCCTTTATGATATTATTTGTTATTCTACATTATATGGGTTAATTTTCCTTTCTATGTTGCTTTGGTTATCTCAAAAATAATATTTAATAAAATTTGTTTACTTTTATCTACTTTGATATGCTTGTATTAGTGCTTTTTTTCTCTATGGTATACATAAAATTTATGATCTGAAAGACAAAAGTAAATATTTGATAGCTCAGCTGCAAATTCGACTTTTCTTTTTTAACAACTAAATTATGAGTTAATAATATACTGCAATTGTTTGAATTACTTAATATTTCAGAATTGGGTGGTATTCAGACAAGGCATTGAGTGTGGATTCCAAGGCAGATCAAATAAGTTGGTTGATGGCTGCTACTCATTTTGGCAGGTGAATGCATGGAAATGCTCAGTATTTTCTATTCAATTAAGTGCTCGTTTAATAAATATAGAGTAACGATACCTAATCTTCAACCAGGGAGGGGTGGCCGCGATAATTCAGCGACTTCATTTGATTGTTAGTCAACAACTGGGTCTACCGAATACCTTTAAATTTGACCATACAACAGAAAGTGATGATGATTCTTCAAATTCCGATGGAGAACAAACTTTTGAAGGAGCCTCTTCCCCATTAGAAGAGTTCTCTCAACCCACGCCAAAAGGTAAGCAAAAGTTCGTCTGTTGATTATTCCCTTTTTTATTTTCTTTTTACTAAGCGTGATTGTGTCTATGCGTCTATTTGCACGCTCTAGGTTATGTTTGGTAAAACTACCCGTATAGCGCTGATAGTTGATAAAATAGCTTATAAGTGAACTTCGAGCTTATATCTGATAGTTTATGGCTGAAAAACTAGCTGTTATGATAAAAGTGTTTTGTAAATTTAGCTGATAAGCTCCAGCCAGCTGAAATAAAAATTTTAACGAACTTATTTGAAAAGTTAGCCAAAGAAGCTTATGAGATAAGCTCGAGCTTTTCGTCTACCAAACCAAGTTTATTTGTATACAGAAAGCTATGATTTCAAGCTATCAAAACTTATGATGCTTACCAAATAAACTCTTAATATACTTCACACATGAGTTATTGTTGCTTCTTTCTTCTGACTATGAACTCGCGTAATTTAATCAGCACGTCTAACCTATTTTGGCCCTTCACTCCACAAAATGCAGGGAAATTTAATTCTTCATGCTTAAGGATGAAAAGTAACGGCTACGAATTTATCAAAGGACCAATAGGAATGAAACCTGTTTTCAACAGCATGGCCTTGCAACAATACATCCTTCTTTGCACACAGGTATATTAGTCACTTCATTCTGTATCTTCCTTCTCTAGTGCCGGGCCTGAATGCTGTGTGAAAGGGTAAAAGTGTTACAAAAATAAAATCCTCATTGTTGTCCCCAATAACAATTTAGCACGTAGAAGTAATTTCATTTGTTAACTTAATAAAATAGAACGAAATTAGAAGATGATACGAGTGTGTATGAAGTTGGACTTCAGTATATGTCCAAGGCTAAATTATGATTTTTTTTTTCTAGAGTTTCCAATTTTCCCTTGTTTCCGCATCTCCTAATGGCCCGTAAAACAATGAATGCTAGGACGATGTATCTATAGATCTTAGTTACCCAAGTGTCTTTGGAATGCAAATGCACACAATTCACGCTATCTGTATAATCTGGGGATTTGTTCGTTTTTACATTTGTTTCTCCTTTTTTTTCTGTTTTTTCCGTAATATATGTTCGTTGTAGGAGGAGGCAGGTTTTAGAGATAAGCCGGGAAAACGCCGAGACCACTACCATACATGTTATGTTTTAAGCGGACTGTCTATTTGCCAATATAGCAACGTAAGAGACATAGAATCTCCCCCTTTGCCGAAGGATATAGTGGGCCCTTACTCAAATTTGCTCGAGCCTGTCCATCCTTTGTATAATATAGTTTTAGATAAATATTTCGAAGCGTACGAGTTTTTCGCAAGATAGTAGACAGTAGTAACATGTGATTTTCTATGTGAACTAATAAGGTGCAGTGTAGTAAGGTGCACGTGCGCTGCACGCATCGTTTTTTACTAAATTTATATAAAATGATTATTACCTATTCACTTCTTTTTTTTTTCTTTCAATTATATTTTATTTTCAAGTTATACCATAGAATGTGTTTCTTGGTATTTTGTTCCGTAGAGATTTTCTTACCACTAAAATGTCAAGGCGAGAGTGTTAAGAGAATTTGTTTGATAAGCATCATAAGTTACCTTATAAGTTTCCTGTATGCAAATAAAATTGGTTTGGTAGGACGAGTTTTATAAAAAAAAAAAAAAAAAAACTTGATTGAGTGGTTTTTCAAATAAAATAATTGAAAATTCTATTTAGCCGACTTATCAGCTAGCTAGTCTTACCAAATAATTTTATTTTATAAGCTAGCTCATCAGCCATGAACTATCCACTACAAATTTGAAATTCACTCATAAGTTATCAGCTAACTTAAATTAGCTATTAACTAGGTTTACCAAATATATCACATACCAAATATTGACATTATAGTTTACCAAAATATACCCAGAGACCAAATATTGACATAATCGGCCATTGACATAATCGTTAAACAAACATAGCCAGAGGGCAAATATTGACATAATCGTTCGTGACGATCATAGATGGGCCCGGCCCAAATGTTCATCTCACCAGTGACGATCGCGTATGTGGGTCCACTCATTCCTGGACCCGGTAAGAGGAAACCCAGCCCATGCATTTTGTTATAGATCATAAGGTCCCAAAACGTAAACCCATATGAAAGTCTACTAGCCTAGTCCATTATCGAAGCCCATCGAGTATTGGGCCATCCATGGAAACAAGAGATCTATATCCCGCGCGAGTGGGTCAGCTAAAAGGCTCTTTTCACTTTTCATCATACGCGCCACTTAACCTTTTTCTTTTCCCGCTTTCTCTCTGTTGCTCTTCACACGATTAACTCAACCAGTAGTACCATAACTGAAATTATCTTTTCTCTGTGCAGCAGAAGTTCTTCACGGATTGAAGACATCGGAGCCCACCTTTCCGAGTATGTCTTCGATCTTCTATTTTCATATCTCTTGCTTATATCAAGTTTAGGGGAGATGCTACAGTCCCGTTACATAACCATCTCGTCGGGGTTTGTAACCGTTAGATCAACTATCTTCGACCGTTACATGATGATCTAACGGTTACAGACCCCGACGGAATGCTTCCGTAATGGGACCGTAGCATTTCCCCAAGTTTAAATTTGCGTTATCCGATTGCATTTATTTTGATAGTTCGTCCTTTTTACTCGTAAAGATTATAAATTTATGTGGAGTGGCTGTTTATGATGTGTGGCTACCAAGTTTAGTTACTGTTATAAATAGCTATCAGAATTTTTGGGATCAATAGAGGTGCTGAGAAATTTAAGCCTGTGATTGCAGAAGAATATATGATGGTGCTTTTAAATGTATTTATCAGAAGATGTTATATTAATAGAAATCGTTTAATTCTGGCACAGTCCATGAGGATTTCAATGTTTGTGCGAATTAGTTATACTAAAGTGTAGAGAAAGTAACTCGTCGATAAAACTGTAAGGCCATTATTGAAACTTATGTCGGTGCCCGTAATTCGTCATGTAAAATTATAAATTTTGAATGCCTTAGCAATAGCAGAGCCGTAATCTATTTGGTGGGCATATATTTCATGACTGTTATCATGCTTCCACAAATTCTGACAATCAGATTACCTCGCTAGCTCGATACGAACTTGTTGACATCTTTAAAAACGGCTAACAGTAATAGTCCCACCTTGATATTTCCAATTATCTGTTGTGTAGTTATTCTCTCGAGTCACTTTGCCTTCTTGATGCTAAATTGTTCCGGTTTTATTGGTCGGAAGCCATAGGAATAGGATTATCTTCCACGTAATAAACTTTATATAGCCTCATTGCGGCAAGACGCACTTCATATGGATCTTGTATGCCGGTTTGAAAGCCATATCTATGTGTGCAGAATACTCTATATTAGGCATGCTTTTATTAAATATTTCAGTGCTGAGCTTACTTGTTTTCATCAATGTTGAATATCCCTGCAGAAAGAATTGTTGTATGATAATAGTTTGCTTAAATCTTGGTCTGATACGAACATTCTCTTGCAATAACAGTTTGCTGCCTGGACTGACTTTATTAATAATAACCAACAGAATTCGTGCACTCGAGCTTTTCTACGCATTTGGCCGTTCAAAGTGTGGATGTTAAACTGTGAAAATTCATACAAGCAATGACATAGTGCAGGTACGTACAGTGTTTATAGGCATCGAATTGAACATAAAACAGTTGAATTTATTTCATTGAATGGTGAGCTATTAAAATTAATGATTCTTGATTAAAAATAGAAGCTACATTTGTGTATAAAATACCATTTTCAAGGGTCCAACCCCTAGAATTTAAACCAAAACGAGCTCAAGCTCACAGAAGCCATCGTGAGGACTTAAAAAGTATGATTGATCGACCCGATTAATTGTTGGATTGCATTACAGAAGATTTGTATTGCTCATTTGCTCAGCTTGAGTGTATTGTTTGTTAAGAACCCTCGTCTAAGCCGATATATTTTTTTTTCACAATTATGTATATTCATTAGAAAACATCATATGTTAAAAACACAATAAATAAAAGTATCACATTTGATTGTATAAGTATAATAATTTGAGCAGATAAACTCCTCACACTAATTCAACAAAGTTTTTGCATGGGCCATTTTTTTTGGGATTGTAAAGCTACAGTTTGTCAGAGGGGTCGTTTAAGGGAGATGCTACGGTCCCGTTACCGAATCATTCTTTCGGGGTTTGTAACCGATAGATCAACTATCTACGACGGTTACATGATGATGTAACGGTTACAAATCCCAACGAAATGGTTCCGTAACGAGACTGGACTATTTCCCTAAAATTTTTAACAAGTCCATTTTGAACTTTTAATATTTATAGTGTTGCACACCATATTTTGTCAGGATATGCACGACATAAGTATAAAATACACTATAATAGAGACACTTGGAATTAAATATTTAAAGAATACAAAGCAAGAATAAAAATTAATTTAGATGACGACTTGAGAATTTTATTGACAGGGATTCTTTATTTTTCAAAGAACAAAAATGACTAATTTAATTGGTAACTCAAATTATTAAATAAGACTATAAATTACTGTTTCATTGTTTTATGTGATTATGATTTCCCGAAATGTCTAAGCAATAGCACCAGCCAACGAGATTTTAATTTGGGACTATTTTGGATAACAATGATTTTAAGTTGTTGGGGGCCCTTAGGAGCTAAAACAAGAACATATGATAATATAGACATCTGACCAAAGCCCTTGTACCAAAAACACTGCAAATGGAGCCATAATCATATTTAGGGGTGTATTCGTCTGAGATTTCGAGTCACATTTTGAGATTTTGAGACTTTAAGATTTTCAGATATTGAAGGAATACCGTGAAATTTTAAGTCTGGAGGTGAGATTTTGAGTCAGATTTTTTTACAAGGTTTTTTTTCTTTAGAAATTGCAGTAAATTTTGAAAAGTTTTAATAGATTTTAATATCGAATAAGTTGAATACTTTAGGATTTTGTAAGACTTTTTAAAATTCCAAATAATTATCCCAAAACTTTTAAAAGTTTTAAAAAACTTAAATTAAATACACTAGGATTTGTAAAGTTTTAAAAAGTTTTTATAAATTCCAACATGAATACACCCCTTAGTTAGACATTTAAAAGGATAAAGAAGAACCATTATATGAATTAGTGGTTTAGGAATAAAAATCAAAATATTTATAAAATATTTTTATAAATTATAAAAAAGAAGTAAACAAATTAATAACTTATCTAATAACATAATGAAAAAAATCATAATTTTTTTTAAATCTTTTGTATAATGCATGTATGATATTAATCAAAACATTAAATTATTACATGTCATTAAAAAAATTAAAAAGAAAGTGATGAAATATGAAACTAACTCTTATTATATTATTTTGGTAAATGTTCACCAATATAATAAATTACATGGTACAAATTAATAAGATGAATGTAGGGGTGGATATAATAAATTACATGATATCAATATGTTTTATTTCTATGAGAATTCTTATCGTTCCGAAAAAAAAAAAAAAAATGTAGGAGTGGATATAAAAAAAATAATTTCACTAATTATTTTTTATGAGATAAAGCATCTATAATTAGGGGTGTTAAAATATCCACGTCCTTAATTGAACCACCAAACTCATAATTATTGAACCTTTTTAGGCAGTCAAGACCAACTTTTCTGTCCTTAATCACCAATCTTGGCTTAAATTATGGTATTAAACTTTTAATCAAGTCATTAAAATGTTAGGACGATTTTGTCATGTAAAACCCGCTTTCTTAATTATGTCATTACGTGGCAATCTTCCTAGGCATATATTAGATTAGGCCCAAAGCACTTTTTTAATGAGCTTATTTTATTTTGTTTTAGTTTATCTCCCTATATATAATTCCCGAATGCGCTGAGCCTACGTGGCTGTTTTTGGTGCTTCGGAATCCTACTTGGCGAAAAATCATGTTTCGTAAATAGGTTTGGACAAATAATATTGATATATTAATAATTAATAATCTAGATTCGGATATTCCATAAATATTATTTAGCTAACTTAGGTATTTTAATATCATTTGTACTAATATAACCCTTTAATTCTTTGTAATTTTATATAGTGAGGGACTAAGTGACTAATATACCCCTGACTTTTGATTTGTTTCCTTCAATTAGCTATTGAATTGTAAATGTATTTTAAAAGTTGATAACTTTTGTAATTCTTATCGGTTTTACATATATAATATATCAAATTAATCATCTTTTGATGATCTTCAATTTGACATCCATATTGCATATAGAAAATAATAAATTGTATTTATCTTTATAATAATAAAAAATAATAATATTTATTTAAATTCATTAGAAAAATAAAATTATTTCTCAATTGATATATCTATGTTTAATGTAATTATATGTTGTAAGTTAAAAAAATTATTATAATATGACACATGTATGTCGCACAAATAAAAAGTGTTATACTAAATATATAATGATATATATATTTTATAAAATGTATTTAAATTTTTAACTACATTTTTCTCATTAATTTTAGATTTTAAGAAAAAAAATTAGCAAGCACCCGTGTAATACACGAGCGTTGTATTAGTTTTATTTTATTTTTAAATAATCTCTTGATGCATAGCTTTTTGTGCCCCACGGGTTAGGAATTATGGCCCGGTTCAAAAGGTACAATCAGCCCGTAATAACCCAACAAAAAGGAAGATATATTGCCTCCTCAGAATATACGGTGGTTATGATAATCTATAATAAAATTTTCATTAGTGTTTGGCAAATATGATTAGGTTGACAAATAGGATTAGGTCTATATGAAAATTGATTATTTTGACTGGCTTAGTTGACTGCCAAAACACAATAATTCAATTTGTATATAAAATTATCGATCACATATAATTTAATAATATATGTGCTACAAATTCATGGGATTATGGCATTTGCAGGATTATAAGAGTGTAAACGTGTGTTGAGTTCAACTCATTTAGTGAACGAGTTTTAAAAGAGTTCGAGATTGACTCATTTAATAAACGAACCAAGTCTAGATTTGAGAAACTCGTAAATTTTTAGTAGCTCTAGTGAGATGAGGGTATTCTTATAAACGAATCAAATACTTTTATTTTGATTAAAAATTCGAATTTAAATAAGAATTGTTTTTAATATTTGAAATTTATTTGAATTGGAATTCGAATATATTCGATTCAAAATTTAACAACGTAGTTAACCGATATAAATTGATCTTATTGCAAAATATTTGCACATTATTATACCTTTGCTTTCAGTTCAAAAATAGGAAAGTTGCTTCCAATTTCAAAATAGCATGGAGTTGCTTATTCACATAAATAAAAAGAGAGCATATATTTCATTTAGCAAGCAAAGTGATTAGTATGGGATACCATGATTAAAATCATGTATTGCTATTTAAGTACACACAAATATCAAATTTAAAATGATTTAAAAGAATATTGGATTGTATGAAAGTTATGTTGTATATACCAGACTTAGTAATAAAAAATACTCTTCATTAAATATAAAATTATACAAAATATAAATCAGATATAATAAGCTAATTATTATGAAAAAATTAAAACTTGAAATTATGAGTATTATTTTTAATATGTTGAGAATTTTTTTCCACATATTTTGATATTATTATTATTTTTTTTTTTGTCTATTATTATATTTAGTCTAATAATACTATCCATATTACCGGTTAAACGTTTAATATTGTTTAAAACACTGATAACTGTAAATCAAATTGAGTGAAAATAAAACTCATTCAAATCTATAATAATAGTGAACCGCTTTTAAAAATGCTCTTTTAAAATTATACCCCAAAATAGAAAAAAAGTAGTTAACTTTTAATTTTGTTATTTTCAATTATAAGAACTGTATGTTAATTAATAGTTTTAATAGTAACGAACAGAAGGTGCTACGGTCCTGTTACGAGAAATCATTCCGTCGGAGTTTGTAATCGTTAGATCAACTATATCTGACGGTTACATGATGATCTAACGTCTTACAAATTCCGACGGAATGCTCTCGTAACGGGACCTTAACATTTTCCGTAACGAAGAGATCCAATACCAGTGTTTTGTGACCCGGACCGGCCCAGCGGGTCGACCCGGGACCCGGTCGACTCGGAGCCAGAACCGGTCCTGGTGGGTTAATTGGACCGGGCAACAACGGACCCGGTCAAAACCCGGTCGACCCGGCCTTGACCCGGTCGACCCGGGACATTGACCCGGCTGGGTCAACCCGGTTGACCCGGTCTATATTTTTTTTTTCTATTTTTTTTTTGTTTTTTAATTTTCTTTTTCTTTTTAAAAAATAAAATTAGGTATATATATTTATATGATAAATATATACATATTATTACCACTTTAATCTACAAATTTTACATACGAAATATTAAATTTGTTATTTTTATGTATATTTATATATCACAAAATACTCTATATATAATTTTATAAATTTTAAAATTAATTATCCGGTTCAGCAATTGACCCGGTGACCCGGCGGTTGAACCGGTGACCCGGTGACCCGAAAATCTGTCCGGGTCGATTACCGAGCCGGGTTTAAAAACTATGTCCAGTACAATACAATAACTATTATTATATCACAACTAATAATAACAATAACAATTAATAATAAATACCCAAATTATCGGCGGTTGCAAAAACGGTGGTGGCATTGTCGGAAGATGATAAGTCCCATTCATCCTCTTATAACCTTCCAACTTCTATGCACAACCATCACACAAAAAATTTATTCAAATTTAATTACACCTCCAAATAATATATACCTATATTTGTCAAGATTATCTATAATTTGATTTTTCTCACATTATTATCAGCCTAATTTTGATTACCCATTTTTGCCCCTTAACCTTCCCTCTTCTTCTTCAAACCAACCACCCCACCCCACCCCACCCCACCCCCATTTCTCTGCATCTTCTCGACCCATATTACACACATTTCTGTATCTATATATCTCATATAGATGCTTATGAAGGAGATAAATAAAGGGTCGAGATCAAATATAACATACCTCCAAGATTAAGCACTCCTTTTTTATTTTCCTTAAGGATTCTCAAGGTGTGATCTTGCTATTAACTTTTGTTTTTATTTCTAATCTTTTTTTTTTTGTTGTTGTTGTTTCATTAATTATTGAATGTTTTTTGTTTTTTTAATTGGTGCTTTGTGTTTCCTTCCCAAAATCCCCTGTTTTTCCTCTCCAAATTTTCTCTGTTACACAGAAATGAAAATGTTGTATGATAATTTATCTCCATTAGAACAGAACAAAACTCCCTGTGCCTCAATGCCTGAATTCGCCGAGGCCGGACCTCCCGACGAGGCGGAGGACCCCACGCGGGCCCCACATTACGTTCCCCACAAGGAGATTTTCGAGGAGAGGTCCCCCCGTAGCCCCCTCAGCACCCACAGCCCTCCGCAGAGCACGGAAAACGACTCCCTCGACCTCGCCGTCGATGACATCATCGCCGGCAGCAACTCGATCGACCAGCTTTACCACAACATATGCGAAATGCAGAGCTCCGATCACTCCCCTTCTCGACGCAGCTTCTTATCCTACGGCGAAGAATCGAGGATCGACTCCGAACTCCGATTCCTTGCCGGTGGAAACTATATGGACGAAAAAACGGGCCCTGACGAAAACATCATTAAGGCCCGTCCTCCAAACACCGTCGGGCCCACAAAGGGCCCGAGCGGAAAACCTCCAAAGGTGATCCCGAAGAAAGCCACTGGCCCGGCCCGTTTAGGTAGGACGAAGAAGGAGGACTACCTCGGCCCGTATCTTCTCAAGCAGGCAAGAGACATGATGATTGTCGGGCCCGGAGATGGAAACTTAGAGAAAGCACTCGAGCTGGCCCGTCGGGCCGCAAAATCATTTGAGGCCTCACCCGGACCGAAGCCCAACCTCGACTTCGTCATGTGCCTCCACGTCATCTCCGCTCTGTACTGCCGACTAGGGCGGCACGCCGAGGCCATCCCGGTTCTCGAGCGCTCGATCGAGATAATGCCAGGTGTCGTCAACTCGGGGAGCCCCGAACACGCACTCGCAAAATTCGCGGGCTGCATGCAGCTCGGGGACACGTACGCAATGTTGGGCCAAATCGAAAACTCGATCTCGTTCTACAAAGCGGGCCTCGAGATCCAGCGCGAAGCCCTAGGCGAAAACGACCCGAGATTTGCCGAGACATGTCGATATCTAGCCGAGGCCCACGTCCAAGCCATACAGTTCGATGAGGCCGAAAAGCTCTGTTTATTGGCGCTCGACGTTCATAAACAGAAAAATGGGGGTGTCTCGTCGGGTGGCTCGCCGGAGGAGGCGGCCGACCGGAGGCTGCTCGGGCTCATATGCGAGTCGAGGGGAGATTACGAAACTGCCCTTGAGCATTACATGTTAGCGGGTATGTCCATGGCTGCCAACGGACAGAATGCTGACGTGGCGGCCATCGACTGCAGTATCGGGGACGCTTATCTGTCACTTGCACGATATGACGAGGCTGTGTTTGCGTATCAGAAAGCGCTCAACACGTTCAAGTCGAGCAGAGGGGAAAGCCACCCTTCGGTTGCTATGGTATTTGTTCGGCTCGCTGATTTATACAATAAGATTGGAAAATTCAGCGAGTCTAAATCGTACTGCGAAAACGCGATTCGTATTTATTCAAAGCCGCTCAACGGAGTCCCGCCGGAGGAGATTGCGAGCGGTTTGGTGGATATTTCGGCCATTTTCGAGTCCATGAACGAGCCAGAAAAGGCATTGGAGCTGCTGCGCAAGGCGGTGGATTTGTACGGGAATGCGCCAGGTCAGCAGGGGATAATAGCGGGGATCGAGGCCCAGATGGGAGTTTTGTACTATATATTGGGGAGTTATTCGGAGTCTTACGAGTCGCTCAGGAGCGCGGTTCAGAAGTTTCGGGCGATTGGGGAAAAGAAAAAATCGGCCATTTTCGGTATCGCGTTGAATCAAATGGGCCTCTCGTGCGTGCAGATATTTGCAATTAACGAGGCTGCTGATCTGTTTGAGGAAGCGAGGGATATTCTCGAGGTCGAGTGTGGGCCCTACCATGCCGACACGTTGGGAGTCTACAGCAATCTTGCTGGAACTTATGATGCAATGGGGAGGTAATGTAGTTAGCAATTTTCGGCAAAAACGTAATTTTAGTCCTGTTGGTTTAACACCATAGCAATTTTAGTCTCTAAGTTTTACCTTTTGCCTTTTGGTTCTGTGATTTACTATTTTGTTGCAATTCCAGTCATTTGAGAATTGAAATTGCAACAAAATTTTTATATTACAGGACAAAAAATGGAGTAAGTTTTAAATCACATAACTTAAATTGCTAATTAAAGATCCAATCCAACGATGTAATTTGAGAATATGTTGCAATTTCAGTCCTTAAAGGATTGAAACCGCAGCAAAAATATTAAATCACCGGACCAAATAAAGAAGTGCTAGAATCTTGAGGCTAAAATTGTTATGCCGTTAAGGCAACAACACTAAAAATGCAATTTAGCCGCAATTTCCTTTTGAAACATTTTTGTGAATTTTTGTATTTTAGCATTTATAAGAGTGATTTTGTTAAAGAGATGTGTTTGGTTCATTTTAAGGTTTAGAATAGAATGGATTGATTATTGCATGAACTCTTATTATGTACAGGACTTGTGATGCGATCGAAATATTGGAATACGTTGTGGAGTTAAGAGAGGAAAGGCTCGGGACTGCGAATCCTGACGTGGACGATGAGAAACGCAGGCTAGCCGAGTTACTGAAAGTGGCGGGATTGGTTAGGAGGAGAAAATCGAGATCACTCGAGACCTTACTCGACAAGCACAACATAACCGCGACGCCTTTCGACGTTCAAGGATCGTGACTCGCGAGATTCGTTATACTAAAGATGACTCTTTGTTTTTTCGTTCTTTTGTTTTTGTGTTCACTGCACGATTTGCTTACAGTTTATGAATTTGAGGTGTGAATAAATAAATGAAAATAAAAAAATAAAGAGACTATTTTATTTTATTTTTTTTTTGGTTTCTTGTTTTTACTAGAGATTAAAGATTTGTGTGTGGGGAATTTGAGGAAATTTGGAGGGGTGATTGGTAAATTTGGTTGTCATTGTTGTATCTTCTGGTTTGATGAAAGAAAAAATAAGATGGGATTTCACTCTCCTTTTGTTGGTATAACTGCTGTTGATTTCAGGATTTCAACCGACTGATTGGGATGATAATAGTCATTGGTCAAGCCTTAAATGATCTTTCTTTTGAGTAACGCATATGCTTGAAATTGATTTAGAAAGAGGAGCTAATTTTTTTTGTTAATCTTGAGCTCATTTTGTTAACGAGCAGAGCCGGACTCGAATTGGGTTGGGTTCATCAAATATGTCAATCTTGAACTCATTTTGTTAACGAGCAGAGCTCGACTCGAGTCGAAAAAAATTTGATAAAAGCTCGGTGTTAGGAGTTCGAGCTTGACTAACTCGTTTAAGTCCTATATGGTCTAAAGGTTAGAGTTGACTCGTTATACTTTTTGAACGAAAATACATAATGACAATGTAAATTTATACTTTTATCTATACTATTTTTCAGATACGTCATTTTAGTATGAAAGACAAATATAATTGTAAAATGTAAGGCTTTTATATATGTTATATTATATTTTGAAATATAACACACTTATGAACAAAGGAAAAAATACATATATATATATATATGTATTTATTTAAAACTAGTCTTCATCAGGTTATTGTTATGTTATATGTTTTAAAATGTACCTGTCTAGAATGCAGGTTAACTAACCAACAGAGTCTTCATCAGGCCCATCCTATACTGAATCAAGCATGAAGGTTAACTAACAATTTCAGGCCGAATTTCAGCCCAAATTCACATAAAGCCCACAATATGATCACTGGCCCAACACCTTTGTCACACAATTGGGTGTGAATTATTGAACTGATTAAACTAGCTATATCATGAGTATAGTTGCAATTATCTCAACTAGTATTAAATATTATATATAAGTACTTTAATTAAAATAAATATTTTTATAACAATGTATATCACATATATAATTAAATTGTTATATGAATGACTCTTAGTTGGATTTTTATACTTCAATGAAAAGGAACAATATAATTTTTTTTTTTGTCATAATTAACCCCTCCAGAAAAGAGCGGAAAACGAAAAAAAATTAGCATTGTATATCTATAGTTTAAATTTCACTTGTAAACTCTGAGCTTATAACTGAGAGAGAACTAAGATATATGTAATATTTGCTACTTGCTAGCCACCAAAGTGAGTCTCATCTTCATTGAAAAAAAAAAAAAAAAAAAAAAAAAAAGGTGTTTGTTATTGTCATGTGACAAGTCAAAAGATGATAATATTAGGCTAAAATTCTTTTGCTTTTTGTGTATGAAAATAACTAATAAATAAGTAGGTTTTGATTATTGTGAGACAAGTGAAAACAAACATATATATATATATATCATCTCTTTGGAAATGACCCCTTTTATCTTAGCCATGCATGTTTTCCCTACATGAGCTTCCAGTGCAGTATAGTGGCCACATCTTTTACCTATCAAAAGCCAACCAAAAGATACAAAAAAAGCCAACCAAAAAAAAAAAGCACAATAAATTATACACATATATATGTATAGAGCCATAAACCTCAACTCTTATTAGTTATTAGTTTTTACACAATTAAAAAAGGATTATCTATGAAATTATTGCACAACATAAAAGGACCAAGCCCTCCTCACACTCATCATAATCACTTTTCTCAATTAAAGAAGAAGAGAGAGAAAAACAAACACAGTAAAAGGGTCACTTAATATAGTGGCATGAAGATGGTTTCAGGTTCATACAGAGAGAGAAGGAGACAAGTCGAATTCGAGCCCCCACAGCTCGAAACTCCCACTGACAAAGTCATAATAGCCGCCTTTGAGCGCAAGCGTTTTGTTCACGACACCATCACGTACAAACGGGTACGAAAGCAAGTTTCCGAGCGAAACATTCACAGCTTCCTGTTGAGAATCAAAATTCACAAATATTCATTTTAGAAGTACATATCATAATGTAACTTAATTTTAAATTTATAATTATTAAACATGATTCTTATTCTTTTGTGTGTTCGTTTTCGTTTTCTTTGGACCTTTTCGCACTGCCCGCATTGGTCACCGAAAGGCTTGTCCTTGTGCGCGGCTTGCACCTTCGACCTCGCGGGTAAACCGATCTTCACCCAATCCTCGATGAAATCGCTAAAAAATCATATATAAGAAAAATGGCTTAGTTAGGTATGAATGACACCAAATTAATTTGTCCTTGTTTTTCTTCATCTTGCTTGCATTTATACATACTTCCATTTTTTTTTTTTTTTCTTATGCATACATGATGTTTTAGCCCAATACTCCCAATACATTAATAAGAGAACAAAAGGCAAAAATTCAAGCTCAATCTACACCATACTTGGCTTTTATTTTACAAATAATTTCTAATTATTGCAACATAAATGATTTTAGGTAGCACCATCAAATGTAACACTTTACAAATAGGTAATACTTTTGGTAATACTTTACCAAAAACTACCAAAAGTATTACCTATTTGCAAAGTGTTATATTTGATGGTGCTACCTAAAGTCATTTATGTTATAGTGAATTTAACACGACTGAGAAAAGATTATTGTTTCAAAATCATGCTCAATTTCTTGATTTATTTCGATCGTTGGATAATTTACGCGTGTTGACACGTGTCATTCATCCAACGAAACAATCTGACTTCAGACATTATTACGTAATATAACATAAGACAGAGTACGCATGAAAAACTAGAAAGCTCAAAATTTTATGTTCATGTGAGGGGAAAATTGCAGTTTGATCCATTAACTTCCGATGTTTTTCATATTTGCCCAAAAACTTAGTGAGGTTCAAAATTGGTTCAATAACTGTTCAATTTTAGACAATTTGATCAATTTTTGATCCGGAACATTGGAAAGTTATTTATTAACTCTTAAATTGAAGAATTATTGGACCGATTTCGGAAAATTTGACTATTCCGAATCTGTTGACTGAGTCCCGGACCACAATAACGGCAAAATTTAAAAAATGGTCCACTTTATTGGCCATTTTTTAAAAAGATACATCATTTAGGGTGTCATCCAGAATGATCCACTAAGTTGTCACTTTAGTCAAAACTATACAAAAAACCAAGATAGTGTACTAAAAGTGATCATCATTTTTAGTACACTATGTTGGCTATTGTACGAGTTTTGATTAAAAATGGCAACTTAGTGGACCATATTGATGACACTCTATATGATTAACCTTTTTTTTGAAAAAATGACTGACATAGTGGACTAAAAATAAAATTTAGCCGTAAGCAAAAATGAAAAACACTATAAATTAGTGGATTGAACTACAATTTTTCCCTTCTTGTGAGTGGCAAAATTAACCTAGAAGGCTTACGTGGACGAAGATCCATCAAATGGGAAGGACATGAGACCCTTGATTCCACCACAGGCACTGTGCCCAATCACCACAATTTCTTGCACCTTAAGGTGCAGAACAGCATACTCAATGGCAGCCCCAATTCCACTGTATTTGGTCTATTGCACCACCAAATAAAAAATAAAAAATAAAGAATTTATAAGTAATCCATTTTGATTTAAAAAAATAAAAAATAAAAAATTATCTAAATTAATTAATTATCATTAACAAAAATAATTAATTAACATTTCTTAATTAAGACCTGGCAATACGCAGGGACCATGTTAGCAACGTTCCGGACCACGAAAGCCTCGCCCGGTTGAAAATCGAGCACGTGCGATGGGCACACGCGCGAGTCGGAGCACGCAAACACCATGTACTGTGCACACATAAAAATTGCTTATTGTATTAAATATTAATCTCATAAGAACACACAAAATTCCTAATTATTACTTGATTAATTATAAGATCGAGCTGCAGAAAGACATTTATTTAACAAATTAATTAATTAGCGAAAATAAAATAAAATTTATGTTACCTTGGGGCTCTGACCTTTGGCGAGTTCCCCGTATAAAGCTGGATTTTTCCTAATAATTAGGGAAAATTTAAATAAGTGAGTTTCATACAAAAATTCTATGAGCAAATCGGATTGTTTTCTTATGGAGTCATCCATTGCTTAATATATTGACATCTGTCCAAATTGTATTTATTGTAAGACACGTGTCAATATACTATTAGTGAATAAGTGTGGGTTGCTCCATAAGTCGAGCCATTCGATTGCTTCATAGCAAAACTGGAGTTTCATAAGTACCATAAATTAAATTAATATAGGGAGATGCAATAACCTAGTGGGCCTGAAATGGTCCAATACTCTTAAATTTTAGAGTTGTTGGATCAAATTGGCTATAATTTAAAATTTAATTGACTAATATCAGACCAAATAACTGCCAGATTCTAGCTTTTGGAATCAAAATTGGACCAGATTGGCTAAAATTGAAGAATCATTGGACTAATTTCGAACATCAATAAATTACTAGGCAAAAACGGGAAAACACTAAGTTGATGGACCAAAACTACAATTTTTCCTTCTAATTATTATTATTTTTCTCCTTAAGAAAAAAAAAAAATAACAAATTTGTTGTATATGTTTTAACGATATGACTTACTCATATTTCTCTTTCTTGAAGTGAATGAAGCCTTTTTTCAACCTCTCCACAGACTCTGAGGCTGAAGCCGAGGCGGTGATGCCGCCGCTTCCCTGGGTTGTTTGCAGCTGAGCTTTTATTTCACCGATTTTGGCAACGACGGTTGGTCCGAGGTCTTCCCTCTCACTGCACATGCATGCACCCAAAGAAAAATTATTTAAAAAAA